GAGGGGGGTGGGGGCAGGTTCCTCTGGCAGCAGCACAGCCTGTGAGGGGGACAGTCTGGGCAGGCTCAGGGCCACCACCATCCTCACAGGGGTGGGGATGGGGCCCTGTCCCCAGGGTGGCCTCTGTTCAGGACACCGCGGGCCACACGGTGCAGTGCCCGAGCCAGGAGAGCCCTGACTCAGATTTAACTCAGGGGATGTGAGCAGAAGAGGAAGAGGTGAAAGGAGTCATGGCCCCATAAGGCCACACCTCTCTCCTCAGCCACCTCCAAGGCTTCCTCCCCTGCTGGGTCAGCCCTCAGCCAGCTCGATCTTGCCCTACAGCTGAGGTCCTCTACAACAGGGGGACGTTAGTGATATCAGCCCCAGGATTCCTCGGAGGATTCCAGATGATGTTGGTGCCAACCATCCAGGGAGCTCTGAGCTGCTGGGCAGACCGGGGGGGCAGACCGGGGGCTGGTGACGAGCAGCTTGCACTATGGAGACGTCAAGGTAATACCCCAGCCCTGATGGCCTTTCTGACAACTGCTCGTCTAATAATCCTCACTGCCCCCCGTTACATCTTGGACCCCACGCTGGCTCCTGGGGAAAACAGGCACCAGCCCTGGAGCACGGGTTGGCAGAGGGGTGACCCCTGCTCCGGCTCCATCAGCTGAGACACGGACACTGGGGTGCAGAGGCTGGAGTTCCCATCCCAGATCTGCCACTTCTTGGCCGGGGGCCTTGGAGAAGCCCTCTGGGCCTCAGTTTCCTCAACTGGACAATTAAGGTAATAATAGTGCCTCCTTTAGAGGGCTGCTAAGGGGTAAGAAAGTTACCGAATGAAGGCTCTTGGAAGAGCGCCTGGCACGTGGGAGATGCTATTGGGTTGTTAATGTCATTACTGGTATTGGCATTGCTCTGTCCGAGGTGTGGACCTCGGACAAGGTCGGCGCCTGCCTCCTAGGGGGCTGGGGACGAGCTGAGGCAGCGAGGTCGTGGCTGTTGTTATCACCATCACCATCACCATCATCCCCAACCCACGGAAGGTCTGCACTGGGCCTATTTCAAGCTGTGGGCTCTTTGGCTGTGAAAACTACAATGAATGTTAAAATAGGAGAATA